TTTGGACATAGTGTAAATAAACGTCGAGACCTCATCCAAAAAAACTAGATAAGAGAATCTTTTATATGAAAAAATACCATATAAACTCTGATATGAAGAAAACTCCTATATACGCTATTTCCAGAAAATGTACGAGTGTACCACATGAACTGGCTTTCTTGGTTATGCCGAAGTTTGTGAAGGAATTTTTTTAAGCAAGGAACTGAGTAAATTTATTATTCTGAGACTGAGAATATTTGATATTCTAATCAATATGAGCTTTGCCCGAATTTTTCTTTGCTAAACATCACAACAAAGGAGATTGTTTGCCAAAGATCCCTTCATCAGCATCTGATACCGCAGCAATGACACTTTCCATTGTTGTGCTATAGGTGTGAGGCTTGGCACCACTTTAGAGCCTAATTTTACAGCCATCTGTTTGGAGATTAGGAAATAAAGTTGCCGAAACTTTTTTTAGATCAATATTTTTCCCGCCGAGAATTCTTGAAATGATGTTGATAAAAGTAACTTTTTTCGTAATCTTGAAACGTTTTACCATGTTCAGTATTCTGCTCCTAAGCCCAACTATGCATTAGTACGCTAAAAGCTGGTAAAAGTGAGATGAGTTGAATTTATCGCTTAAAGGTGGTGTGTGCAATTCCCACATTGCAGTCCAAAAATTATTTTTTTGCACGGCGCGTTGGGTAAAGGCAGGCGCTCAAAATTGGAAAAGCTTCTTAGATTTGCTTGACAATTGTGAGGAAAATGTAAGATAGATGAATAGGTGGTTTGGAAGAAGAGAAATCCTAGAAGGACTTGGTGAGCTCAATTAGCGCCACAGTAGTACAGTGGGCACAGTTGCAGCTACTGAAATTTTGGTACACCCACTTTGGTATATGGGAGAGAAAAGAAGAAATAAATTTTCTATCAAATTCAGGATAAGTAGAAAGTAGCAATGGACTCATGTAGAAGATACCTTGCTGAAAGCTGTAGGTGCGTAGTGCATAACAGAACCATAGTCATAGTCGGTATCCAGATGATCGATCATTTGCAAAGAATATTTGTCGAATTGATCTGAAACAATGCCGATAAGAGTTGGTAACTTCCCCAATCTCACCTTGAAGTCCGGATTCTACATTGCTCCAGTTGATAGTGACATGGTCGTCACGGTCAGCTCTACCTGAATTTAAACATCGTAATTTTTGCCAAGTTAGGTATAATTACCCATTGAAAGAAGTTACAAAATATTGTGAGTTTTCGAAAAGCGCTGTTTGAAAAGGAAGATCAAATAATTTCATTTTTACTGTTTCGAGCATGAAAGTATAAAATTACTAGAAATAATGGAATAATTCATAAATTAATCAAAGTTTGAGGACATGCTCAAGTCACCATCTCGAGTGCCAGATTCTCCATGTTTAAGTGGACTACATCAGAAACTTCGATGCCACTCACTTTTGAAGATTTCTTTAATCTTTACTCTCACTTTCATGCTGAGAATTATAAGGCATAATTTTACATCGTAGATACATGCTTTTCAAAATTCTCCTCGTGTGCCACCAAGCATCACTCCACGTAAAGGGAAATTTGGGTAGGCAACGAGATTTTTTAGTAATACAGTGACAAGACATGGATAAGGTAAAACGCTTTTATCGCTTGTGAACTTGAGTGCATAGTGCTAATGCTTAGAACAAGTTCTGATTATTAAGAACAAAAAATCCAAAGAAACTACTTAGGAAGTCAGCAAGCTTATTCAGAAAAACATGTAGTGCTTTTATCATTCATACCAGGACTCCCGCGAACCAGTGGTAGGCAATGTGATGGATATGCTATCCGACTCACTTGCTCAAAAGATTCATAGAAAACTTACTTTGTTCATGGAAGAATCCGACCACATGCATCAATTCGTGTATGATAATACCCTTCTGTATACATCCATCGCCAAGACTTACTGGCTGCTTTCCACCTGCAAATTTGTGTTTTTCTCGCAAATCTCAAAGGACTCGAAACTGAGGTTGGTGATTGAGGTCGGATAATAGCGGAGCCCATAACTGGTAATCGCCCTGGTCCCGCTGCATAAGATAAGAAGCGAGAAAATCGCTCCGGAAATTAGAAGCGGCAGCGGTAGCACCGCCCATAAACGTGCGTGGTCCGAAGGTGAAAAGACCAAATTCTGGACATAATGTACCCTTTGTTTCAACGAGATTGGCGGCTGGAAGGCGGGGCTTCGATCCAAAGCTAGAGAATGATCACAGAGCACGCTCGCGGGAGAGACTGCGCTGCGGGCGCGAGTGGTCACCTTCCAACCGCCAATATCGTTGAAATGGGTGTCTAAAGATGCCATTCATCTGCCATTCATTATAATCGTCAGATTTTCGATGTTTTTATCTACGCAGAAGCCAGCTTTCCAGCTCATTATCTTCAGACCGCTCACATTGATGGGCGGAGCCACCTAGGCCGCTTTTACCT